AACGGGGGCCGGCCCAGTGGCTCACTCGGGAGAGTGCGGTGCTGATAACACCAAGGCCCCGAGTTCGGATCCCACATAGGGATGGCCGGTTCGCTCACTGGCTGAGCGTGGTGCTGACAGCACCAAGTCAAGGGTTAAGATCCCCTTACCGGTCATTTTTAAAAAAAAAAAAAAAAAAAAAAAACACTGTGATGAACATTTTTGTACCTAAATCTTTATTCACATTTCTCATCAACTCCCCAGGTTAAATATATTCAAGAGTTTTGAAGGTAAAAATTTCCCCTTAGTTCGCTCTAGTTAATAGAAGCAAGGACAGTTATACTACCAAAGTACAGTGTTTCTCAACCGTTTCTCCAGCAACACGTAACATCCACTTCCCAGGTCCCATGGTGGTACATAGGACTTTTAGGGCATTCACCAGGGAAGTGTCTCTCACTTTTTATTTTTCTTCAATTCCTGCCCCCTTTTAATAATAACAACTCCCCTTTCCCCATATATTCCACTAGAGAAAGTATGTACCCCTGACTCACTGAGAATCACTGACCTAAGAAAATTAATAGGGAAGAAAGAATAAAAGCTTCACATAGGGAGACATTCTCTTTGCCATTAGTGTTACACATATTACTGGCTCTTATCAATGTACATTGGTAGTTTAGGGAGCAATTCAAAAGAGAAAGCCTCAAAAAACACAAAAGAATAAGACTACAAATCTTTAATATGAAATTAAAAGAAGGTAAAATAGAATGGGATACTAGCTATTCAGTATTTGTGATTTGATATTTGGTCCACTTAAAATCCCAGGTTTCTTTGATGCCAGTGATTTTAAGGAGTCTTCATACCTAGTACTTTATATAAATCTTATTTTCTCATAAATGGAGAAGGAAGACCACCACATCAACTCACATACAGAAAAGCAGAGGTAACAAAGTTTCAGAGGTAGACACCAAAAGTAAGTGTTCTAAGATTTGAAAGTATATCAGAACCAATAGTAGAAAGTAAAAAACAAAAAGATACTTCCTGAAATGATCAATTGTGTCAACTGAGCTAACCAGCTAGTCCCCCACCACACCTCTTTTTTTTGCAGCTGGCCTATATGGGGATTCGACCCCTTGACTTCGGTGTTATCAGGACCACATTCTCCCAAGTGAGCTTAACTTTATTTTTAAAACACAATATTGTACATGGCTTAAAAATCTCTTCCAGCTTTCTCAAAATTTACATGTGACCTGAAGACACAAAGATGGTATGACCCTATTTAATTTGTAAATATTAATAATAATGGCTAATGCTACCTAAGACTTTTAAATGACCAGAAACTTAAAGGCTTTATATGTATTAACTCTTTTAATCCTCAAAACAACCCTAGAAGGTGGGTAGTATTATTATCCTCATTTTACATATGAAGAAATGGAGAGGTTAAGTAATTTACCCAAGGTCAGAGGACCAGCAATTGGAAAAGGTAGGATTTGAACTCCAGAGTCCAAGCATTCAACCACTCCTTTTTTCCTAAAGAGAAGCTGTTAGCAGGCTATACAGTAAGTGAGGGGTGGTGGGGGCTAGAAGAGGAGGACATCACAGAGAAAAGAGAACTAAGTAGGTATAGTAGCTTTTTGGCAAAGAAATGGCCCCTATCAATTTTGCCAGAAAGTCCTTCTGATATATATCATATTTTTAATTATCCAAACAAGATGATGCTAAAACACCTTTTGCAGAAGCTGCTCTTGATCTTACCCTCCTCTTCCAAAAAAAAAAAAAAAAAGGGCCGGCCCGTGGCTCACTCGGGAGAGTGCGGTGCTGATAACACCAAGGCCGCGGGTTCAAATCCCTATATAGGGATGGCCGGTTAGCTCACTTGGGAGAGTGTGGTGCTGACAACACCAAGTCAAGGGTTAAGATCCCCTTACCAGTCATCCTTTAAAAAAAAAGAAAACAAAACAAAAAAAGGGAAGAATAAAAATAACTGAAATCTTAACTTCTCTAACACCTTTCAACAAACATCTTTTCTTTCCTTGATCTCTTCCAAAACCTTGATGGTTAGAAAACAATGATATAAAAAGAAGCCACTTTTAGTTGAAATAAAAAGATCTTTTGGTAATTTTTCCCTTGGTAATGACTGAAACATTTGAGAAAGACTTTAGTCTATCCCACCCACCCCCAAATGGAAGAAAAACCAAGTTAAAAAACCATCATCTTTTAATTTCACAGCAGTTTTCTTCCCCCTCAAAGGCTATTCCTGTCCTAGTTGCAGAAGGGGAACTGCTCCCAGTGATGTCAGAGTAGTCTCCCAGCAACAATTAATGAGGGTTGTCCACCACAGGGGTTTCCTGAAAAGCTAGCAAGAAATTATCCACATATTTGCTTCAATATCAAGATGCAAGGATGCAGTGGAATTTCTCTTAACCCTTTTAGCTCCAGTCTCTGACAAGCGTCTAAATAGGTTATTCTTCTGGAATACTCTCCATTTATCTTCCTTTTTTCTCCCTCCCCCACTCATTTCCTTATAAATTTAGATTTCTGTTAGTTTGAAACATTTATGGTTGTAATAAGTATTAATATAATTGAGCTACCATAGAAAATAGGACTGCATAATGTAAGCTGAAAAGTAGACATTATTAATCTTTCACTTTACACAAAGAATTTAGAATAAATGAAAACACAAAACAGAAAAGAAAATCAAGATAGAAAATAAACAAGCAAAGTTTTTAGAGGCACTTCTCCACATATGCACATAAACACACAAACACACATCCACAGACAGGCAAACCTTAAATTTTCCTAGGCTCTATTCTACTGAGTTTTTCAAATTGACCTCTGCGGGCAGGCCTCCAGAGATCAGCAGTATTAAAATGGAGTTGCATAAAAAGGAACTGGAAGCCCAAACACTCAATCCAAAAAAGATGGGTTGGGCTGTTATGCCCACGCCTCAGAGTATATTCAACAATTTCTTCCTAAAGCTTTACTTTAGCTACATAAGCTAAAAATTAGAATTTTACTACAACCTTCCGTGGCAAGGAATTTTATGTAACCACTTATTTTTGAGGTCTGAGAAACATCATACAAACCGCCTGCTCAGGACCAGTGCAAATAAGGCAGAAATATTCCAAATTCCAAAACTCAATCTAGAATTATTAACAGATGCTAGGTTCCAGATACTGGCTTATGAGTTCTTTCACCTTTCATATTTAGAAAAAGCAATTAGGCAAAATTCATTAACAGCAGGACATATAGAGTTAATACAGGCACCCTGCTTCAGCAATCCTGACTTTGGTCTGAGCCTATTCTAAAGGAAAACAAACAAAATAGCACTTCTATCATTAAAACATCCCATTTTTGCTTTAGCTTTATTCAATGGTACCCAGTTATCATCATCAAGTCATAGGTGGGAGAACATACCACTTCAGATGGATTTTTCTTCTTCCTTCTCTCCGTCCCCTCCCTCTCAGAAGAAAAAGACTGCAAACAAAATCCACTACGTCACTGGAGGCAGAGGGAATCCCATCTCTGCACTCTTTAGAAACCAAAGCCAGCAAACAAAAACAAGCCAATTATAAGAAACAAACAAGTAATCCAAAAAAGAAGCAAAAATTCATAGAACAACCTCAACACATCTAAAGGCATGTTTTAGTAAAAAGGTTTAACAAATTCCTCCTAGGATGTTCATAATCAAAAAAGCTCCCTAGACAGAGCAAAGGTGACATATTTCTTCTTATCACATTTAAAGAGACTAGGGGACAGTTACATAAAGACACAGCACACAGAAGCATATTCACCAGCCAGGTGTGGATAGCTGGGTAATGACACAGTGAAGGATATTTATAGGGGATTCCCTGCTTCCTGCAATGTGCGTCAACAGCATCACCAAGGAGAGCAGAAATCACCAATGTTCTCATAAGCTAAATCTAAATGAAACATGGCTTGAAATAGCTATGGAAAAGGTAGAATCTGAATAGTGTAAAAGTTCTAGCAAACCTAATTTTTAAAATATTTTGAAGATAAAGAACAGCAAACAAAAATGCCCCCAAAACCCTCACAAAAATTAACACTGGAAAATTCTCTAATTTCTCTAGTGTGTATTTATACAGTTAAAATGGCCAAGATTAGAAAAGATATCTATTATCTCCAGCTTCTTCCATACCAAGTCTGTGGAGTTCAAAGACTTTTACATAATGAAAGAAAATTATCCAAAACTCACCCCAGATGGATCTGTACTTACACCAACAGCGAGCTCACATTATTAAAGGAGATCTCATTATAAGGATCTGTTCTGCCAGAATTTTGCCGGAAGAAATTCCTTCTGGGAAACCTGTGCCTCTTCCCCCGCCCACGGTCCCCTCCCGCCCCCTTCACCCTTGAATGAAATGCTACTGATCCTTGCTGCTGTGTCTCCAGCAAGTTAATTGCTCTGACAAGCGGCTCTGAAGCAGACCATGGCCCAGCTGTTCGGAGAGATGTCACCCCGAGCTCTGCTAACAGTCACACTTGCACACATACACAGGCTGTAAGAGCATCCCCTCCCACCTCCTCTTCTACCTCTCATTCAAGTACTTCAGTGGCATTCGTGCCTCCACACTGCTCTAAGGATAGCTTTTAAAGACACAGCAGCAGCTGCTTTCTGCTGCATGTATCTAGATGCTGAAAAAGAGTCTTTTTAGTGAACAATAACAAAGTCGGGGGTACATACTGAATTAAAAGCTCACCTTTAAATTTACCTTGCCTTTTTCTCACCTGCAAAATAATCAAGGCCAGAAAAATGGTCTTTGCCTAAAAGCTACTGGGCTGGACTTTAGAAATATAAAACCAAGACCAAACCTAGTTACAAAGAATTTTCTTTCCAGCCAGCTATATTTAGAAAAATCATTTTTCATTTGGGGGCAGAAGGCAGGCAGCATTGGATACTAGTAGCTATCTGTTCCTCCTCTGATATTTTGCCCCGAAAGGATGAGTACTTTGGCTATAAAATGAGAAAATAAAGAAACCATGAAGGCATCTTACTGACAGAACTGATGAAAAAGGATAAAAATAGAAAAGTATAAATATGGGGATGAGGATAAATAGATTGAAATACAGGAAGTGGTACAAAAGAAACCAGAAAAGAATAGTTCTACAGCGTATACACAGCTCTGGGTTAGCAAACTTAGATATGACCTTCAAATTCTTTTTTTTTTTTTTTAAAGATGACCGGTAAGGGGATCTTAACCCTTGGCTTGGTGTTGTCAGCACCACGCTCAGCCAGTGAGCGAACCGGCCATCCCTATATGGGATCCGAACCCGTGGCCTTGGTGTTATCAGCACCACACTCTCCCGAGTGAGCCACGGGCCGGCCCACGACCTTCAAATTCTGATTTTTAAGAGCCCAAGGAAAGGTAGTAATAATTTCTATTGCTACAGAAGTAATGGATATTACAGGTTGTACAAAGTCTGCAATAGCACAAAATAACATATGGCTAGGGTCCAGGCATGTCTGAGGAAAAAAATAAAACCTGTCACAAAGACACATTTATTTATTTATTCAATCACACATTTGTTATGTGCTTATGTTCTTAGTATGGGCCAGGCACTATAATAAGCGCTAAGAATATTAGATTCATTAAGGGTCATACAAAAGAAAAAAAAGGACTGGCTTTTACTCTGAGTGAGATGAAAAGCCATTAGGGGCTTGGAAGGCTGATCCTGAAGGGCCAAAAAGATCACTGAAAGGAATCTGGCTTTCACAGTTAGTGAGATGAGAGGTCACTGGCAGTTTTTAAGAAGAGGAATAAAATGGTTTTGACCTGTATTTCTTTGTTGTCCCCCAGTTTTTGCTTGAGAAATGTCTAACAGAGAATTTGTAAAAACAGTAAAACAATAACCTGGATTCATATATGTTAATTATGTACATGTACATGTATGTATATATATATATATGTTTTTTTCAGAATTATTTGAAATGTTCTCACAATGACTCTTCACACCTAAAACAATTCAGTATGTACCTCCTAAAAATAAGGTCATTCTGAACTATAAGAATAGTCACCAACTAAGTCAGATGAATTACTAGATGTATGCACGGCAGATCTAAATAGCACGGCAAAGACTTCAAAAACTGAAATAACTTTGTAATCACCACCTATAGAAGGCTGAACAGAATTTACAACTTGAACCCAAGCAGGTCAAATGTCTGCTAAAACTAAAGTCAACATTCACTGTAGGACTTAAACAAGACCCAGACCCTCATAATATTCAAAATTTCCAAGATACAATCTAAAATTATTTGGCATATAATGAACCAAAATAATTTCAATTTGTATAGGAAAATAGATGAATAGTCAAAACATCATAATGACAGAGATGGTGGAATAAAGTGCCTGACAATGATATTAAAGCAGATATTTTTTAAATGCTCTAATAAGTCAGGGCAAACACTCTTGAAACTAATGGAAATACAGAATGTCTCAGCAAAGAAACAGAGAGTTTCTTCTAAAGAAGAACCAAATGGAAGTTTTAGAACTGAAAAATATAACAACCAAATACAAACACAATCTATGGGTTAGATAGCAGAACAGTAATAACAGAGGAAGAGTCAGTGAATTTGAAGACACATCAATAGAAATATCAAATATAAATATTGAATCTGATTTAAAAAATTGAAATTAAAAAAAAAAAAATCTCGGCCGGCCCGTGGCTCACTCGGTAGAGTGCGGTGCTGATAACACCAAGGCCACGGGTTCGGATCCTATATAGGGATGGCCGGTTTGCTCACTGGCTGAGTGTGGTGCTGACAACACCAAGCCAAGGGTTGAGATCCCCTTACCGGTCATCTTTTTAAAAAAAAAAAAAAAAAAAAAATCCCAAACAGAACATCAAGGACCTATAGGACAACAAAAAGTCTAATATTCAGGTCATCAGAGCCCCAGAAAGAGAGGAGAAAGGGTGTGATGAAAAAATTTTGAAAAAAATAACTACCAAAAATTTCACAAATTTGACAAAAAACATAAACCAATAGTTTCAAGAGGCTCAGTAATCCCCAAACAGGATAAATACAACAAAATCTATTCCTGGATTTATCATAATCTGACAGCTAAAATCTAGAAGACAAAGAAAAAAGTCTTGAAAGCAACCAGAGGAAAATGATGCACTACCTATTAAGGGAACAATGATTCAAATGGCTTCATATTTCTTATTAAAAACCACGAAGACTAAAAGGAAGTGGACAACATTTTTAATGTGCTGAACAAAAGAACTATAAATACAGAATTCTATATCCAGAGAAAATGTCCTTCAGGAATGAAGATGAAATAAAGACATTCTCAGATGAAGGAAAACTAAGAGAATTCATTGCAGCAGAACTGTTCTAAAAAAATGGCCAAAGAAAGTTCTTCAAAAAGAAGAGAAATAGGAGACTGGCTGGTTAGCTCAGTTGGTTAGAGCATGGTGTTGTAACACCAAGGTCAAGGGTTCAGACTCCCCATACCACCCAGCCACTAAAAAAAAAAGGAGAGAAATGATAAAATAATAACAACAAAACTTGGAACATCAGAAATAAAGGGAAAAAATCATAAATGGTAAATATTTGGTTACATATAATAGACTATTCTTCTATTAAATTCCTTAAAATGTTTTTTATTTAAAATATGTTTGATGTTTGAAAGCAAGAATTATAAGATTATCTGATGGGGTTTTCAATGTATATAGATGTAATATATAAGACAACTACAACATTAAAGCAGAGATCACGAAGGAATGCATAAGGTGGTAAGGTTTCAAAGTTCCATCTGAAATGATAAAATATTAATTGTAAGTAGACCATTAAAAGTTAGGTGTGTAGAGAGAGAGATGTCTAGTGCAACCAACAACAACAACAAAAAAAATACAAAGAGATACAGTGAGCCCTCTATATCCAACGGGTTCCACATCCATGGATTCAACCAACTGCAAATCAAAAGTATTTGAAGAAAAAAAATACAACAATAAAAAATAATACAAATTTTAAAAAATACATTATAACAATTTACATAGCATTTATACTTCATTAGTTATTATAAACAATATGGAGATGATTTAAAGTAAATGGGAGAATTGCACAGGTTATAAATACTACACAATTTTATACAAGGGACTTGAGCATCCACAGATTTTGGTATCTGCAGGAGGTCATGGAAACAATCCCTTGTGGATCCTGAGGGATGACTGTATCGTCAAAATTTAATAGATAAATTTAAATTATTAAAACAGAATACTAGGGCCGGCCCGTGGCTCACTCGGTAGAGTGCGGTGCTGATAACACCGAGGCCCCGGGTTCGGATCCCATACAGGGATGGCTGGTTCGCTCACTGGCTGAGCGTGGTGATGACAACACCAAGTCAAGGGTTAAGATCCCCTTACCGGTCATCTTTTATAAAAAAAAAAAACAGAATACTACAAAATGTCCAAATTACTCAAAAGGCAAGAAAAGGGAGTCAAATGCAGCTGGTCAAGATCACAGAATAGATGGTCCCCAGCATCACTCTCTCCCACAAATCAACTAATTTACAGCTATAAAAAAGCAACAACAGCCAAGCTGGGGCCACTAGAGCTCGGGAAGAGGATGAGAGATCTACAGAGTTCATGAAGGCGGGATAAACCACGATAAGAGAAAGAAAAATCTGCTTGGAGTGTTTTGGGCCATGGCCACTT